ATCATTGCATGCATTTGCAGAATTCGTAAATAGTACTAAAGTCATAGAATGCATATCTTATCATTGCATGCATTTGCAGAATTCGTAAATAGTACTAAAGTCATAGAATGCATACCTTATCATTGCATGCATTTGCAGAATTCGTAAATAGTACTAAAGTCATAGAATGCATATCTTATCATTGCATGCATTTGCAGAATTCGTAAATAGTACTAAAGTCATAGAATGCATACCTTATCATTGCATGCATTTGCAGAATTCGTAAATAGTACTAAAGTCATAGAATGCATATCTTATCATTGCATGCATTTGCAGAATTCATAAATAGTACTAAAGTCATAGAATGCATACCTTATCATTGCATGCATTTGCAGAATTCGTAAATAGTACTAAAGTCATAGAATGCATACCTTATCATTGCATGCATTTGCAGAATTCGTAAATAGTACTAAAGTCATAGAATGCATATCTTATCATTGCATGCATTTGCAGAATTCGTAAATAGTACTAAAGTCATAGAATGCATACCTTATCATTGCATGCATTTGCAGAATTCGTAAATAGTACTAAAGTCATAGAATGCATACCTTATCATTGCATGCATTTGCAGAATTCGTAAATAGTACTAAAGTCATAGAATGCATACCTTATCATTGCATGCATTTGCAGAATTCGTAAATAGTACTAAAGTCATAGAATGCATACCTTATCATTGCATGCATTTGCAGAATTCGTAAATAGTACTAAAGTCATAGAATGCATACCTTATCATTGCATGCATTTGCAGAATTCGTAAATAGTACTAAAGTCATAGAATGCATACCTTATCATTGCATGCATTTGCAGAATTCGTAAATAGTACTAAAGTCATAGAATGCATATCTTATCATTGCATGCATTTGCAGAATTCATAAATAGTACTAAAGTCATAGAATGCATACCTTATCATTGCATGCATTTGCAGAATTCGTAAATAGTACTAAAGTCATAGAATGCATATCTTATCATTGCATGCATTTGCAGAATTCGTAAATAGTACTAAAGTCATAGAATGCATATCTTATCATTGCATGCATTTGCAGAATTCATAAATAGTACTAAAGTCATAGAATGCATATCTTATCATTGCATGCATTTGCAGAATTCGTAAATAGTACTAAAGTCATAGAATGCATATCTTATCATTGCATGCATTTGCAGAATTCGTAAATAGTACTAAAGTCATAGAATGCATATCTTATCATTGCATGCATTTGCAGAATTCATAAATAGTACTAAAGTCATAGAATGCATATCTTATCATTGCATGCATTTGCAGAATTCGTAAATAGTACTAAAGTCATAGAATGCATATCTTATCATTGCATGCATTTGCAGAATTCGTAAATAGTACTAAAGTCATAGAATGCATATCTTATCATTGCATGCATTTGCAGAATTCATAAATAGTACTTATTAAGTAGTTAAATATTTGAAAAAGATTTTAAAAATGGAAATAACACTTTAATTGATTGAGAAAATTTTGAAAGTATTTTTAAAAGATGCATTTTTTTTTTTTTTTTTTTCAGTAATACATGTGTTTGTCAAAAAGTACCCAGTATATATCTTGGTAAAGAAGGTGGCAAAATTTCATTTCTTGTTGATACACGAACAGTACCATTGAAAGATCTTACTGCTGATAATCTAGGTAGATGATCTTTTTTTACATTATTTTTATTAAAAATTATTTTATTCTTTCACTTTAAAACTATTGTATATTACCGTTTGAATGAGTTAATTTTCAGGAAGTTGGACATGTCGTTTTACTGCTCATATGAAATCTCGAAAATATATGGTGAAAAAAGGTAAAGTAATAGGTTATGTAAAACAATATGGTCAAGTATATTCGGTACCGCATGATTATGATTATATCTTGCATCGTCAATATTATTGTCATGGTAATACCATTGGTCCGGCAACAATTCGGAAAAATATTTGGTATTTGTCGAATAAATTACATGGTGGTGAAGTTATTGGTTGTGCTATCATTTCCTATGAAATTGGTGATAATGCAACAGTGAAAATTTCAAAATTACGACAACGAACTCTTCTCAATAATTCATCCGAAAATTTGCGTCTTTTAAAAGGTGAAATTTCCGCAACACCGGAAGAAATGGATGTTAGCAATGTGACAATGAATCCAAATGCGGAATTGCAACGATTTGTGAGTAATATTCAAGTACAACAGCAGTAATTTCAAAATTATCTCTTTCATTCTAGTGATATCTCGTTAATTATCATTACATTGTGAAAGACAGAAATCAATTATCTATAAGTAATTATGTTATGCAAAAACGTTTATTTTAAGATTTATTAATTTGCATAAGATTTATTTTAGATATAGCATGCTAATTTTTTAAAACATTTTAAAATTGATGTCCAATTATTTAATCTCTAATAAATGAAATCCTTCTGAAAGAGTGTGCACTTACTTTTCCTGCCTTTGTGACACTCAAAAAAAAAATGTTTGTTTTAATAAACTTTTTTATTTATATAAATGATATTTTGTTGCCATAAATTTTCATTTTTTGTTCCATTTTTTTTTGTTCTCAGAAATATATTTGCCAATTGATGATGTTAGCAAAAATTGTCGTTAAGTCTTTATAAAAAATTTTTTTTATATCTTTAATACTTTTTCATATGTCATTTTTCTAATTTAAATATAGCATCATCATAAATATAACTTTAGCATCTGCTGAATTCTTTTTTCATCTTTTTAGTTCTCTCCAATAATAATAAGAAAAAAAAAAAAAAAAAGAGCTGTAAAACGAAAGGAAATTGATGACATGTATTAGTGAGACATTTTGCACTTCATTGTTCTCTAATAAATTTTGTCTCTAAATTAGCTTTTTTATTTTCCCTGATTCCCAATATAATTATTTCTAAGTTTTATTATCAATCTTTATTTTTAGTACTCAAAGATTGTTTTTGCATACATTTTTTAATTTCATTTGCTTCATGTTTAATGTTTATTATTACTATTATTATGTTGTTCATTAGCAATTACTGTTGCATATTTCTCTTCTTTTTTGAATAATTTTTAATTTTATTAATTTTTCTCCTCTGCTCATTCTTTTTTTGAATAATTTTCAGTTTTATTAATTTTTCTGCTCTGTTTATTCCTCTTTTTTTTTTCCTTTTCTTTTTCTAAAACAACTCTTGTGCTTTCCTTTATTTTTTTTTTTTTAATGAATTTTTCAATTTGAACAATTTGATATACTTAGGAAATTGTAAATATTATTGTAATCAGTTTTATACATATATGACTTCTACTAATGTATATTCTCTTTGCATATTTTAAGTTTTTTTAAAAAAAAAAAAAAAAAAACAAACAAAACAAATGCTTTTTGCTATGCTATTTATTACTCAATCGAAAAGTATAGATTTCATTGATAGGAAAATATGCTGAATTAAACTTATTAAATATACTATAAGTGGAAAGTGAAAGTTTATAGCAACAATTAAGAATAAATTTTTGAAAAAGAAAAATTTTTTCAAATTTTCGGAATCTAATAAAATAAATTGAAATGATATTAATAGCAAACAATAACTAACTGATATGATGAGATTTTTATATTTTACACATCTCAAATAGTTGCACAATTTTTGCAACAATAATTTATTGTATTTCATGTTCGTAGTAAAGTAAGGCTAAAAGAAAAACACAAAAATTTTATGACAGCAAAAAAAAAGGAACAACAAAAGAAAAAAGTAAAATTTATTTGCTTTTAACAGAAGTAAAATTTAAATGAAAAAAAGAAAAAGAAAGAACTTCAAGTTATCTAATTACTTTCTTTTTTTTTTTCGGATCATCATAGAATAGAATTTAGAATATAAGAAAAAATATTAAAATTAGCTGAAAAAAAAAAAAAAAAAAAAAAAAAAAACGATATCTAGTGGAAGTGCAAAAATCAAACTTTTCAACATGAATTAACAAAATAAAGCTTTCACAGAAAGAAACAAACAAATTATTACAATTGCATAATATATCAATTAAATAGTATGACCCAATTGTTTACTCAAAAGTACATTTGGTAAAATATAAAAGTAAACTATTAGTAAAATATTTGTTAACATTTTAAATCGAAGTATATGGCATTTGAGACAATTAAACACTGTGATATAATCATTTGTAGTGCAACAAAAAAAAATAACAAACTGAAAAAAAAAATTAAAAATAAATTTAGTGAGCTTTAAAATTTCGCAGGATTATTTGCACTGATACAAGGAAAGTTAATATAAGCATTGATGCTAGAGATCTGCATTTGAATGCAGCATTTTTTAGAGAGTAGTAGATAAGATAAAAGTAGAAGAAATAACGCTTTTCAAAATTAAATTTTTATTTATTTTTTGTAGTAGATACCATCTGATGAGTAATCTGAAATGGAAAATTGATGATTTTTGAAAAAGGAAAAAAGTTTGATCATAGCTCTTGAAATTTTAATATAATGATAATAATTTCTCAATAAAATATAAATGTATGCATATAGAATTAGTGATAATTTTATAAATCTATTTATCTAATTTAAATTCTATCAATAATTGTATAAGCAATTTATTTAGATTAATTAAAATTTATTCTATACAATTATCATTGATGTGTAACTTTTGTGATACATTAAATTTTTGCTTGTCCAATCAAAATTACGAATTCAAATAAATTAAGATTGACATTCTTGATTGATCATTTATGTTTCATTAATTTATGCTTAGTCAGAATTTTTTCATCTTATCAATTTTATTTTCATATCAATGATATTAATCAATTTTTTATCAAAAATATGCAAAAAAAAAAAAAAAAAAAGAAAAAAATTATTACTTATTAACTAACATGCATAATTATTGATTGCTTCACTTCTTAATTGATCAAACAAATTTGCAAATATTCGTTTTCAATTCATTTTAATAAATTCCAATAAATTATGAATATAATATATTTGTTATTCCATAACAATATTTATTTAGCTTAGCTGTTCTGTTATTATTTCATTGATTGATTCATCATAAAAATATGGACGAAGTAAGAAAGCAATCTGAAATGATCCAATTCGTTTTAAAAATTCTTTAGCATCGTTAAAAAAAAAAAAAAAAAAAAAAAAAAAAAACCACTAATTAATAATATTCGATTATTAAAATGAGAGAAAAGTTAAGAATAACATTTAATTTAATGTATTTTCATATAATCTTACGCAAAAATTTTCATCTAATCATCAATCACATTCACTCATTTAATCCTCTTAAACGTACATTTTCACGTATCTTCTCGAGATCTACGGTTAACTGTTTCTCGTCTGTAATATACGAATGAAAGTTAAGCACCTGTAAAAAGAATACTAATATAAATTAAAATTCAAATCATATCTAAGAGTTTTTAGCATCGTTAAGAAAAGTCATTCAAATATTTTTTTTTTTTTTCCACATTTTCTATTTCGAACAACAAAATTTTATTGAGCTGTAGTTCAGTTTTTCTGAATTAATACTTCCTACTCTAATTATTATAAATACATAAGATAATTTTCCGGTGTATAAATAAGAATATGAAAAATGGTTAATGTTTGATGAGTTAAAAAAAAGAAACAAAATAGACCTCATCATAAATTTTACTCCCTGGAAATGAGCAATTTACAAACATCATTTCCAATGAAATATCATTATCCATCTTTTCCGGATCCCATATGGTTCCAATGCTTTTCACCGTATTATGCTTAGTAATACTTCGACAGTTAAGTATATCCTAAAAATACTTCAAATTCAAAATTGAAGAGAGAACAGTTTTTTATTTCCAGTAGTAATAAATTAAGTATTAGTTGCAGTAAACTAATATTTTTAATTTAGATCATTTCTAAAACGATAAAAATATATTAGAATTAATTTATTTCACAATATTGGTATTATAATTGTTATTACAATCTTAAATTAAATTAAATTTGCATAATGTAAATAAGAGAAACTTAATTTTGCTTTCTGTATAATTTCATCTTCGCTCAATTCAATATTATTCAAATAAACAAGATCAACAATCAACGATGGAATTGAAACTGGTAAAATTTCACATAATGGACTGTAATGATTATATCGCTGCCAACCGGTTAAAATAATACCCGAAATTTTACCATTCAAATCCTGGAAAAATATAAAATTTCTTTGAATTATTACTTCACAAATCTTTATAACTCATCTAAGATAATTTACAACAGATAAAAGATCACCACCACCATCTATCTCATTTAATCTTAGAATTTTATTTTCAAAAATTTCTAATGCTTTTTGATAAAATTAGTAAATAAATAAATAAATAAATACCTGCTTTTCTTTCTCATACAATTCCACATATGATTGTTGATTGGCAAGATAACGTCTAATATAACAAAATGATTCATTTTGTCCATTTGCGCCTTTGAATGCACTTGCAAACATCATTTTTGGAAAAACCTAATATTTAATTTAATTCAAACAAAAATTTTTCAAAAACAAAAAAAAAAAAAAAAATTTAACCAAAATGCAGTCGTATATATACATATCTTAGAAATAAACAAAATTAAAATTAAAATTTTTATTGTTTAATAAATTAATTAACCATATAATAAAAACCAGAACCTGTGAATATCTTTTAAACATATTTATCGGGAAATAATTCAATTTAGTAACATTAACAGCATAACCCCAAATAACAGGTGTAACCAATTGACCCATTTCATATTGATTCAATAAATCAATTTCAATATCACTGAACATATCATTCCATACTAGCACTTCCGCAAAATTTAACTCACTTCGAGCATATCTTGCTACCCTTGCAAATTAAAAAAAAGAAAAAAGGTCAAAAATTAATTTTATCAATGAATTTAATAAAATTAATCTGATTATCAGCTGTTATCTATTTATAAAAATTGATATCGTTTATTGATATAAGATCTAATATTCTAATACACTCTGTAAAATGTCCTTTAAAAAAAAAAAAAAAAATTCTTTTATAATATTTTTTCTTATTGCTATTTTTAGGAATATAAATGAAAAGAAAAAAAAGTATGAAAAAAGATAATTTAAATCATTACATTTTAAAAGTTAATATTAATTAATTTATGAAGTATTACATATATTATATTACAAATATTTAATTTTGGATTAAAATTATTGTAGTATAAGTTAGTAAAAGATGAAATATTCATTACCTGCTAATATGATCCAATTTTAAATGATCCACCGTAAAACTTAAACTTTCCATACGTCGATTAATACATCGAAAATCCTGACCAATAGTATATACTTCGTCAGCACCTATATGTATTCGTTTTGCATTTGGATGCATAATACGTATCTAAAAAAGAGAAAAAAATTTCATTTTTTAGAAAAAAAACACCCACATAATATTTATTAAAGTAAAGTAATAGTTTTAATACTTATTAATATAATTATTAAATATTTCATAAAGTAAAATAATAGTTTTAATAAATATAAATAAATTTATATTTCATCTTAAAAAAAAAAAAACAATTCACATTTCCAACAGTTAATAAATCATTAAATCATATTTTGATAATATAATAGTTAAATTTATACAAATTATCTATCAATTAATCAAACCTGAGTGAGCATTTCAGTAATTAAATGCCATGAACCTTCATCTGATGGACATATTGTATCATGCTTAAATATATCCTCACGATATATAGAATATTTCGAATGTTTCAAAACAAATTCCATATGACCAAAAGTTTGTACAAGTGGAATAACTTCCAAATTATTATTAGATGCTAACTGTAAATATGCAATGAGAGTATGAGTAAATTTAATAATAGTTTAAAAAATTAAACAATAAAATAAATGATTAAAATTTTGCCAATTATGTGACAATTATTTGATTATAATAAAACAATGAAAATTTCAATTTATTCTTCCTTTTTTTTTTTTTTTTTTTTTTCAGAATTTAATTAATCTTTAAATAAAGCTTTAATACATGAATCTGATTTTTTTGAAACATTTAAGTGATATATGTTCGCCATTACCGGATTATCTTACAGAAATTATCATACGTAGTAGTAATATGATATTCCATAAAAAAATATCATTTCCGGAACACTCCTGTTCATTAGTCACTTTTATTGATAGCTATGCTTTTAATTCTTGAATAATTGGATTGATAGAATTACTCGTAATTTATCAATTGTTTACAATTAACGCTTAACTGATGCAAAATAAATTTTCAGAGTCTAATAATGTTTGCTTTAAATTAATTATGGAATGAGTCCTATCAATTACAATTGTTGTCAATGCTTTAGCAGTGCAATAATTAATCCCGATTTTAAATTTAAGACATTATTGAGAGAACGTTTCTACATATTTACTGCAATTAAAGAATTTAAAAATTATTTCGATGATTAAATAAACTATTTGAGAGTTTATATTATCTATAGGAAATTATTATGAAAATTTTTGCAATCATTTGGATTATTTGTTTGGGAATTACCAATTGTTTCCTTTTTTTTTTTTTTTTTTTCGCCTCTTATTGCATTTTCAATTTTGTGAAATCATTGGAAATAGTTATTTTCCCAAACATTGCAAAAAAAAAAAGAGGAAAAGGGGAAAAAAAAAGAGAGAGATACATTTGACAACAATATTTCATTTTTGAAAATTTTTTCAAATGAGATTGACAATGAGATGAGTTCATCTAATTATATCAATAATGATCATCATTACTATCTTTTCTTTTTCTTTTGTTGTTGCTAGTAATGTATATATTAAAATTAAGAGAGGTAAACTTTTTTCTATTTAAAATTCAGAGCGCTAAATTTCAAATCAATGTTTAAAATTGAGTAGAAAATTACAAAAGAAGTAATAAAAATTGCAAATCAATTAATTTATTTGCATTTTCTTTTATGTTTTATTTTAAATATAGCAATAGTTTAAAATTAATTTTGTAAAAAAATAACAAATTGCTAGAATAAATTAGAAAAATAGGAAATTTGATCAGTAAAAATAAAAAATTATTTTTGAAAAAAAATTAACCTCTAAAATAGCTTTTAAAATAGTCTTAGAATAAGCAATTGTTCGTTTCAACACCGTAAGTTCATTCCAATATGGAAACATATCTTCATATTCCATTAATATACCATCAACTTTCATTTTTTTCAACAATGGAAATATCTTCTTGTAGTATTTCAATGTTGGCGGTGCTCCTTTTAAGTCGAAATGGACTATTTTCTAGAAAATTAAATGTATGAAATTGCGCTTTGAGCAATTATCGTCCTTTTTTTTTTTTTTTTTTCAAAGAGAAAAAAAAAAAAGCAAATTAAATTTTTATTAGGAAAAAAAGAGACTAAATTTTCAATCGGAATTTCTGAGGTAAATTCAATTCAAAATTTCAATTCGATGTTACTATTTTGTGTTATAATAGATCAGAAAAAGCAATGGAAAATATTATTTTCCAATTTTATGCGATATTCAAATAATATTTATACATAATGTAATATCGATTATTGTTATTTATCTACTATGTACTATTTATCTTTTAAATTTGAAGAATGCAAGAAAGAAAGACGATGTATTCAAATAATTTAAAAAATTTAAAAAATTATTTGAATACATAAAGAAGGAATATAATAACTTTAAGTATTTTCACTTTTGGTTTGAAAAATTTTAACTTGAAAAGTTTTAATTGAAGCTCAGATCTTCGTTTCACTCATAAATTACTCATAAATTATGTGAAAAATTGACAAATAATAAATTTTCAAATCCTTTCATTGCTAAATCTGAAATGGTACCACTAATTTTTAACTCTTCCATGTAAAAATAACAACTGGTAAAGTAAAATTAAGAAAAACATGAGAAACGATTAAAATCAAAATTCTTTCTTCTACTTTTTGCAATTATTCATTTTTTTTTTTTATTTTCCTCTAATCTTTATAATATTTATATAAATTTTTATTTTGTTCCATTTTATCAAATTCAATCACAGTGAAAAATCATATCAAAATACCACTCAGTTTTACATTCTTGAAATTTCCATTAAAAACATTTAACATTGAGCGCAAACAATGTAAAAGATGAAATAATAGTTTAATAAATAATGATATAATAGACAAAATTTTAAAATATTTTTCAAAAAATTCGAGAGATTATTATTTTTTTAATTAAATGCTATTTGTTATTATTAATAGTTGTTATTAGTATTGGAATAATTTCGTTTTAATTAAATTAAAATAATTAAAATGATATTTTAAGAAAGAGGAAAAGTTACAAGCAAAAACAAAAACAAAAAACAAACAAACTTCTTTGAATGGATTTAATTGATCAAAATTCTTTTGACTTCCAAGCATTTCGTATGATACGGCAGATCTTGCGGTAATACAAAAATATAGCACATTGATTAGAAATAAAACACATGCAATGGATGTTCGTATAAGATAATTCTGTCCATGCACATTTAACATAATCAATTTTTTCCAATCTTTTTTATCTAAACTAATTTCTAACAATTTAACAATTTTCCTCGTACAATTTTATTTTGTGCAAAAATTTGAACTTTAATTAATTTCAAAATTAAATATAAATTTAACTGATACTAATGTATGAAAGTTTTATTAATATTATTTGTTTTAATAGAGTGATTTTTTAGTATTTTATATTATAATATAATTTATTTAAAACTTAATGCATAATTAATTAAGTTATATATGTATAATATGTAAATATATGTATGAGCAAACTTCTGATGCAACAAATTATTTTTTAATGAGTGTAAGATTTAAAGTTGGTTAAATTTATTGAACAATATACTTGTCCATCTAATAAGGAAGATATGATGAAAGCTACACAAGAATAATTTAAAATTTATTGTTTAGCTAAATATATTATATTTTTTGCATAATAGTCATTCATTATCTTTTATAAAATCAATTGAAATAAAATGAAAATGTTGTAGCAAAGAAAATTAAAAAAAAAAAAAAAAAAATTATTCATAGCGAGAAGAGAAAACATCATCTTATCTTCTCAGATGAAAACCTGAAAATTTGAATTAAGCAAATTTTGTTATGTCTAGAAGTTGAAATTTGTGTTTAAAATCAGTTCAGAGTTCAAATTAAATTCGCCAGTTGATTTTTCGGAAAATTTGAAGTCGAATTTATTCCTTTTCTTTTTCAATATACATAATTTCATTGAGAAAAGGTATTTCGAGGAAATAAGCAGGAAAATAAAAACTGATTGCAAATAATGATTCATTTTATTATTTACTTCTTTTATCAAAAAATATTGAAGAATAAAACACATTTTATTCATTTAGAACTTTTAGTTATTTCTTCATAAGAGATACTTGAAAATCAGAAGAAATCTTAGAAATGCATAATTTTCAGGTTTAGATTCTAAATCTTAATTTTTGCTAAGTTAAATTTAAATTTTAGATGCTAAGTCATTCACCCATATGATAGAACTGATATGCTGAATTAAATAAAATTGAATTTTTAAAGATGTACCAACTTCGAGATGTACCGGTTCTTTTCAAGGTAAACTTGCTAGCCAGTTAAGGTAACGTATGGGACACTTGCAATATTAGCCTAGGAGCCAGATTCTCATTCAATGGATAGATCAGGTCATGAAATGCAGATACAAGTACAAGTATAGGCTTTTTAACTACAGTAATGATGACAGACACATACACACACATACATACATACACAAATACTTTAAGAGCTGAAACTACTTTGCACTAGATTTGCCCTCTCACAAATCTTCGTTACCAGTCGAAATGTCTTTTTCTGGTCAATTTCTCTGGAAAGAATTTTTTGAGTGCAATCAATCTAATTGAACGATAATGTTACAATGCCAGAATGGTAGAGAATAAAAAGTTTGAAATTTGACTCAAAAATGAGTTTGAAAACTCACTGTCAGAAATCTTCTGGGACATAGCTGAATTCGAATGCATCAAAGAAAATAACTTTTAATGCAAATTTAGACTCAAATATGACGAACAATTAGATAGCACAGACTTATAGTTTAGTTCAATTCAAATTAGACTGCCACATATACAATCTAGGCCAGAATGTTGAACATAGCTATTAGTAAGAGTAATGATTGGAACTTTGCCACAACAGTAACACTTCATAAATATTTATATGAGTCAGCAAAATAATGCTCTGTTTTTGAATCAACTTACCCAGAAAAAAAAAAAAAAGAGTGGTAGCATGATGATAAAATGTTGATCCACTTTTGCACTGATTATCAAGTGGAGAAATTTTCACCGATCACAACGATGTTAATAAACAGAAGTATCATTTCACTTATAACAAATGTTTCAAACAAAAAAACTTATCACTTTTCATGCAGTCTACGTCTAAAGCTAAGGAGTTATATTTTGAAACTGAAAACGATAGCCTGATTTCTTGAAATGAATTTTCATTCCAAAGTTATCAATATTCAAAAAAATCCTAGTATATATAAAGGAGGAAGAACAAGTGGCACTTATAGAAAAGTTACTCGCATAAATTCTGAGAGACAGATATAACTTTCTGCTTATTAAAACTGAGCATGGTCCAACCTAGCAGAACTAATCTCAAGAAATAACTGATTCAATAATACTTAGAGGAGAAAAAAGAAAATTAATCTACGAGAAAAAAAAAAAAAAAAAAGGAAGTTTAACATACAAACAGCCTACATTCCACTTTAAAATGATTGTGAAAATGATGCATTAATTAAGATCTATTATTTTGAAAATTACCTCAATCGATGAATTCAGTAAGGAAATTCAAGACCTGCACTGATAATTATTATCATGAGAGCTTAAAAAACAATTTTATAAAAATTAAAAGATTTTCGAACCCAGAATCTTAACATGTACATACTTGGATGAAACAACAAGCTATACACCCAAATTAATGTGATAATTCGGATAGATTTCAGAAAATTTAAAAATAAATTCAAATCCCGTATAGAAAAGTGAAAAAAAAAAAAAAGAAATGAAACAATTCGACAAATTCAATCTACATCTTAAAGAAAGACAAACAAAATACAAGCATAAATTGTAATCAGAGCACCATCGATTTTATAGTGAAATAAGAAAAGGAAGTTCTGCGATCTTTGATATCTCACCATTAGTAAACAAGAAACCATCTTCCAACAAGATGCACTATCGATACATTACATAAACCTTCCATTTTTTTTTTTCTTTGTTACTAATGATAAATTTTCTGCTATGAAACAAAAAATCATTCTTCTCTAAGTTGTAGCAAAAAAATAAAAGGTTGAATTCTGAAAATTTGAAGGACTTCAGACCTTCTGAGAAAATGAAGCAAAATAGATCTTGTTTATAGTAGTAAGAAACATAAATCATTTAAATCATCCAGTTATACTTTCCCATCGCAAAATACAGGTCTTATTTCATATTAAAGGAAAAAGAAAGTGGAACATTTTTTTTTGCATTAATTAGAAATCGATAAGGACGGACTAGTATTTCGTTGCAGAAATAATGAAATTAATAGATGTTCATCTAAATTAACATTTCACTATGATTATGTTCTGCCGTATGAACAAGGATAGAGCACAGAACGGCGGAGTTGACACTAGAAAAAAAAAAAAAGTAGAAGTACTATAAGCTAAATACGTCCTCCTATACAAATATATATATATATATATATATATATATTCAAAAATAGCTCGGGAAAATTATTTAACTAATAAATTAATTGAATAGAATCAATTAAACAAAAGACAAATAGAATAAATAGTTCACCATTCTTTAAACTAAAAAATTAGCACAATGAAGAAATGAACAATATTTTATGGCAAAAGGATGATAATGAATGTACAATAAACAAAACAACAATTGTCTAATCGAAAAGTTTCGTTATTCGGCTTTTTGCTTCCTTCAAACGATTAGTTTTTACGCTAGCATTACTTTTTGAGTCTGATGATGTAGGGAAAGCACCAAGCACATGCACTTGCTTTCCATTTGTTCGTACAAAGCTAGACAATTGTGGTCCAAAATCATAAGTACTCTCAGTGGATAGCTGAGAAATATCCTAGAAAAGAGAATAATGGAAACAATTCATTTCTTTCAAATTAGTAATAAACAACATTATTTACGACATCATCTTTACTTAAACAGTAAACAACATCTGAAATGAAACAAGGCAGCGTCATGGATAATGCAAATCTATGTATTTACACTAATTTTCCTCATAATTAATTCCTACATCCGTAATACTATATTGCACTTTTTCACTTCGTTTTCACTTTACACAAACCAATTAATTTATATCGGTATGTGGATTAAGATTAATGGCTCAGTAGATCATAGATAAAGTTTATCCGAAAATTGATCATAATAAAAGCAAATAAAGAAATTTTGAAGCGATGAATCGGTCAATTTTCCTAATTCAAAGAAATGTAGAAATTAGCCATACCGAGAATGAGAAAAATATAATGCTTTTAATTAAAAAATGTTTTTAATGCTATTATCCTGTTCCTTATGTTCCACATCTCTTTTTTCTTCATTCTTGAATTTTCTGCATTGAAAGTTTATTTTTTCCAACAGTTCCACTCATCCTCATGAAATGTCTTCTACATCATTACAACATACAGTATGAGATATCATCTCAAGCTGTATAATTTTTTAAAGTAAACAACAGCAGTAACAATATTATACAACTAAAAACTTTTTTTTTTTTGTTTCATTAAGAAAAACAAACCACTCACCGAATCTGATCGTTTATGCCGACAACTATATACAGATATAATTGGATACGGCAAGAACCCAATCATTTTGGGAAATACTGTAAACGATATTTGTCCTAGACCACTTTCTTTAACATGTACTACTGCAAGATGAAATAAATATAGATGAAAAATAGTAGAAAGACAAAAAGTTATCTGAAGAATTCTCAGTCCTTTTTAGATCTAAAAATCAATGATTTCGAAATTTCAATAGGGATTAATAAACATCATTTCAAAAAGACAAAGTAAATAAGAGCAGATGTTACAAAAAGTACTCCATCAAAGCTTAACATTAGGAAGAATGTTAAGAAAAATAAAGTTTCGAAAATCTGAAAAAAAAAAAAAAAAAACGGATGGACAGTTTCTTGTTGTAAAAATTCCACTGACAAAATAGGAAAATCGACCGAGAAAACTAAAGTTTGAAATGTACAGAAATTTCAAATCCAACCTTAAAATTTGGACCTTAATAGTGAATTAATTTAAAAAAAAGTGGAAAAATGCACACTTACATTTATGTTTCTGACTTATGGTCCAAAAACATGGATCAGCGTCAATACCGACAACTACTGTTTCTACACGATTTGTTAAACTTCGCAGTGAAACAATCATATCACATGCATCATCAACACGACAAAGAATTGCACCAGGTTGTGATGAAAGCAATTGTGCACAAAGTTCATAATCTGGCTAAAAACATAGTTTATCAAGTTTCAAGATTCTAAGAACTCGAATAATCCAATTCAAACCTTTTTTTCTAAATTAAATTTCAACAATTTTCGGGAAAAAAAATCCTAATACTTATCTACAGAGCAAGACACAGCTGCGTAATAACAGATTTCTGGAAAGAAAAACAAATGTCATAATGTAAAGTTAACATTTTCTCACTCTTTTCTCTTGAACTATGTTTTGCGTTCTTAATATAACAGTTTTAAATAATAATATACCAGATTAGAAGGATTTCAGGTTTTAAAGAATGCTTGAATTTTTAAGTAAAACCATGAAATTTTAAAGATGCAAAGATAACTAGCCGTTTTGCATTGTACAGGGAATTCATCAAACAATGTATATTCGCGATCATAAATTAATTCTTCCTCATTAGTATGCTCGTCTAATGATTTCACTCGATATGTAAACCGTAATTCATAATGCTCAACCTCATCCGTTTTTCCTTTATTTGATGGTAGAATCCAGACTAGACGGTATTTACATCCTGGTTGTATGTGCTATAAAAGAAATAAATATTTTTCATGCTGAAATATGTCAGTCAGCGCCAAAATTCAAAAAAAAAAAAAATCAAGATCCAAAATTCAAACACATCAATATTCTTAACCCATTAAAAAAAAAGAATTACAAAACTCATATTTTCTATGTAAATAACCATATCTAACAAAAAACATTTATATATAAATATATTAGTAATAATAAAAGTAGTAACGATAATTTTGCAGATGGTTTAGCAATTTGGTTAAGGATAAAAGACTAAATGTAAAAAATTAGAAATAAATTAAAAAAGTATGAAGTAATAAGAAATATCAAGCAATTACTGAAGTTCTGAAATGTGCACAAAAAATTCCGACTAACTGTAAGGTTAGGATTTAGCAATTTCGCTGGAATTTGCAGTGAATCGTTACTTATCCTGCTCAGTATAGCATCTTGAGGCATAATCAACCATTCGTCAATGTTTCGCAAAAGTGCTAATTCGAAAAGAACTCTGAAAAGTCCAGTAACATTTTAATGTTAATTTAGAAAATGTCCACAGAAAAAGCGAAACAGCATAACTCAATCAAATTTAAAATTGCAGTTTAAAATTTTTGATAAAAGAGACAGAAGAACTTAACCTTTCTTCCAGTAAAGAAGTATCACTATCAATATTCATAAACGAAATAAAATTAACCGTAAAACTCCACTCTTCATCCATCCATTTTACCAAAATCTGAATTCGAACTCATTCCGAATATTTCCATAAAAAATATTCCTACGATAAATTAGCTTATTTCGATGATAGTATTATTACTGATACCTCGGTAAAAAATATGCTGTTTTGACCAGAGTATTTTCAAGTGGAAAACCCATTCATGACACCGTAAAACCATGAAGAAACACCTGTGCAACAGACGTCGGTAGCCCACTTTTCACATTTTCTTCACTGTTTGAAAGATTGCGAAGGATTTTATACAAATGAACAGTGATAGTTTTATTATTTCCAGGAAGTATACGATCTAATGAGTAATTGCAGATTTCAGACCATTTCGATTTGGATACATCCTGGAAAATGAAAAATGAAATTGGCATAAGTGAACTTCGGATAAGTAAGTTATGAATTCCTCCTTCCACAATAATAAATGGCATTGCAAATAAGAACGGAAAGCACAAACTTGAAATTTTATAGAGACAAAAAATTTTATAGAGACAAAAAATAATAGAAAATATGGAAAAAAGAAAATATGAAATGTAAAAAAAGAAATGATATTTATTAATCGTAGCATTTCCTTATGACAATGAAAATATGGTATCCCCAAAGTAACATTTTAAAAAGAGCTTACTAACACAGTGGTTAATCCATTTGCAGCAATAAAATTTATTTTCTGGCAGGAAAGTTAAATGAGGTTGATGTGAATTCAAACAAAAAATGCTTGGAAAAACAAAATTTGAAACTTTAAAAGTGTCAAAAAAAAAATCCTACCCAAAATTCTAAATCACTCCCAGCAGAACAAGTTATTTGCAGCACTGAGTTTTCATCAGTTATCAATTTTCCAGTACCATAAGAAATCTCAAATTCGACATGCTGTGCCACACCGGCTAACAATATACCATCATCTATAACATTAAATTTAAAATGATAAATACATTTCTCATAACTGAACCGACATTATCTATCCATTTCAAAGCAAAACAAACAGTCATCACATTCTACTTATATATTTTAAAATGGTAACTCTTGAACTATATTCATTTCGACATTATCAATTTAATTAAAACATTTCTGTGTTCGAAAACCTACCGTCATGGCGCATTACTGAAGCTTATTGTTCGTTTTATCATTTTGAAAAAAAAAAAAAAAAAATACAGCTAATAAATTGTGATAAAAACCAAGAAATTTGGAGTCTCTATAAAAATCGAAAAATATGGTGATAAATGAGAAAAGAAAAATTAGTTAAATCTCGAATAAAACATATAGTAAGCTAGAAAATTTACTTGGTGGTGGCTTCAGTTTCAGAGAAACTGGTTTATGATGGACAAAACATATTGGTAACCGAGCTAAATCTTCTTCGATTTCTGACACATCTAACCAGTTGCAGCGTAATAACAATGAATGACCAATTTCTAGCTCGAAGTAATCAAAGATATACGTTCCATTGCTTTCCGATGCCTGCTTGAAAACAGCATTATAACAAATGAATTCAGCACTATATAAAATTTCAAAAGATTCTCATCTCTAAATAAATTAGCTAAAAGTTAAAAACTGAGTTTACTTTTTTTTTTTTTCATTCGAAGCTATCTTAGGCTTTATCCATCCAAGTTCCAAAAATTTTGAAATCAAATTATCCACTGAAGGCTATGAAATATCCACTTTAACAATAACATTAATTATAATAATTAATAAAAGTTATATATAAAATCTTTTAATATTATCCAAAATGTACCTTGGCAATCAATGTTAGAATATTTTCACCAGGCCTAAGTTCATCCGTGGCAGAACTCTGGAAAATCAAGTAGTCCTCCGATTCGCTAGTCAAATTCATGCTAAATCCTAGAACGGATTCCTTTCGCAACTCAATGTCACCCTTCCAATCACATGCAAAACGACTAATACCATCTGTTTCCTGCAATTCATGAAACTCCAAAATACATTCTATATTCCAAAAGTGTGAAATGAAAGACATGCTTGAGGAATCATTTGAGAAAACTAAAGAAAAAGTTTGAACATTTGCAATGAATAGTTGAAAAATAATGATTCATATTAAAGTTTTGAATACTGGTGATAAAAAAAAGGCAGTTTGAATACACAAAATGCTCTGATCATTGGATTAATTAATATTTTAATATCTGATAAACTGTAAAATATTGCATTATTTCTATGTGCGATTGTATCACTGTATGTTCCATGGTGCTAATAAAACAATTTAAAAAAAAAATATTCATAAAAGTCTTATTCAAGAAGCAACATACACTGTACATGCATTCGAAGTGCGGTCGTCGTCCAGCAGTTCGCTTTTGCGATTCATTTTGAACAAAAGGTTTCATATAACAGTACAATTTGAAATTTTTTAATGATTTAGGGAGATAGCTGATAACTTTAGCATCAATTTTTATTGTTTCATTCGGTATCGCTATCAGAAAAGGAAACGATGAATTGTAACCAAATGAGAAAGCCTTACGTTGATTACAATTTGAGTTCAATCTGCAAAAGATTTATTTTAAAAGAGGAATTTAATATAAGGTTTAAAATTTCAGGAAAATTTTTAAAAGAAAAATCAGAACTTCATTTTTTGTAAGCAAAGTAAATGAATTTAAAATTCCCTTAAAACCATTATTTTCAATGAATCCTAGCAAAAAATGGAACCTTATCTTCGTTACACTCGGCTTTTCACTCAATTCCAAAAATTTATCACAGTATTTGATTCGTTCTTTTTCTGTCTCCGCCAATTTCATCAATATCAAATAAAAATCTACAAGCCTAAAATTCCTCATTTTCAATTATTAACTGAAAATAGAAATTTAAATTTAAAAAATGCACTGCAGCAATACTTACTCCTTAAAATGGATTCCCGGAAATTTCTCCAAATGATTTACAGTGAAGAGTAATGTATCTCTAAGCAACAACACTGTTGAGCCATCCGAAATTAAATCAGAAATAAAATTTAGTAAATATGGAAGTGCTCCTTCTGCACGATCCGATGATCTGAAATAGTAAGCAAAATAAGACTGGACAATTCTAGACTTTGGTAATGCAATCTTATAATAACGTTATCTCGATCGTTTTGATTTCATAACTTATTAAAACTATTATATATTATAACGATTTTAGAACTACATATCAGAATAAGAATTAAAACTCGCACAAAATTTTCATATATTTTTGTAATACACTACTGTTGCATCGGACTGCTGAAATTCATAATTGGATAACGAATATAAACCAAAAAATTACAACAAAAATTTCGCCAACTCCCAACCAACTGCACGTGCTTCACGCCTCCATCCAAAATGTTTTAGAAGTGCTATGGAACTTTCGTGATATTTCTGCATGTAATGCGTAAACTGTTGCTTATCGAAAAGAAGCTGCCTGAAACGAATAATCTAATATTTTAGAACACTTTTATAAGTTCAATTATACTATGAAGGAGCATTTTACAATCATTTCTAAAAATTTTGAAATCTATTCAAAGACCATATGAGAATGAAAAAGTAGAATTTTCTACTAATTATCTGAAACAAACTTAGGCAGGTAACTTTGCATAATTAATCTTAAGTAAAACATACGAACTAATCAAATCTTTATGCTTAAGACTTCAACACTGATGAATTCTGTCATAAATAAAATTTATAGACAATCAGCATGCTTGATCTTGTTCACAGACTAAATCTTTGCCTTATTTCATTAACAGCATTTGTTTTAACCGTTTCTACGCCACACTGTGTAATTCCATCTTCAAACCATTTTGCTATCTTCTTCCAGTCAACCAAATCCCATCTTTTATTCAGTTTTGACATCTGAAAAGATTTAGCATACATGAAAATATTTCATGATTTAAAAAGATTCATCCTGAAAAAACTTTTATCCCTGTACGTCCAGAAAATTCACATAAGTTTTATAAGCACAATAAAAAAAAAAATTCTTAAGGTGGACTTACTGCCTGACAAGTGGCTAATTTGAGGGAACAAGTTAAATGAGCTGCCTGTTCAACGTGTGTTATTTCAGTCAATAAAGATGTTATCTGCATTGTTTCTAAGCAAAATGAAACTATCCAACATTGTATTTCGTCGCAATCCCGTGGTATCTGAAAGAATAAATTTGACTTAAGAAAAAAATTAAAAGCAAAATAAAAATGTGCTCAAAATAAATATATGTTATTAAACAGCAAGATGTACATGTAAACAAATTATACTAATATATGACAGAAAACAAATCAAATAACAAACATGAAGATAGTATTTATTTAGTTAGTTAATTGCATATAAATAGCAAATAATTCAGCAAGAGAGTACAGTAGTCTGCTTCTTTCCAAATGAGATTTGAAAATGGGACATACAATTTGCTAACCGATACTTCAAACCCTTGCTTACATTCATCTTCTCTTTTGTGAGTAAATTCAATTTTGAAGATATTAAATACCTTGAAAACTACCATATTTTCGAATATGGCGTTTAAGCAATGCAGAGAATAACGCAATAACATAACAGCAAATTCATTTCTCAAATTCTGTGAGCTACTATCACTATTTGTTGAAACTCGTTGTAAGCGTTCCTTGTATATTTGCATCGCATTCTACAAGAAATTTTTTATTTTTGAAGTTCGCAAAATTTTTTTAAAAAAAAGTTTAATTCATCCATAATAAACTGATGTAGTTGATTTTGTTTCAACCTGATTTGATTGGTTCAGCAAATCTCAAATTAAAAAAAAAAATACTGAACCATTCTGTTCTGAAGCAAACAATGATTGATATTTCTCTCAGTAATCATAGAATATGGCACCAATATTGTACCTTTACTCTTACAAAAATAAATTCTAAGAATGTAACAGATATTACTTACCTAAGTAACAAAGCTCCCCTTAGTGATAATTTAATAAATTCTATCTTCCTCTAATCGATGGAAAGAAAGACAATAGCGTAACGAGGATTTTGTCATTACTTACTTTTTCAATTCGTTGAAATTACCTAGTTAATTTTTCCATACTAACATTCTATTTAAGACAGTAACCAATAACAACAATTTGAACATCAAAACAATGATTGAAAAAAAAAATCCAACTGGGTTTGCTGTACCAATATCTGATGTGCCAAAATGATGCAGCGTAATTCAATAATCGTAATATTATCCCGCGGTGAATCACATTTCAACATTGCAACAAAAAGTGGACAACCGGGTGACACTGAAGTCAAACATTTTGATGATGCTAACCATTTCGGTGTAGGACCTAAAAGAGACACAAAAATAAAATGAAATTTTAATACCTTGAAAAATTGCATATATAATATTCACTATTCATCAATTTTTGAATCATTCAAACTTGACGAGCAAAAATTTCAGTCTTCTTTCTCCAAATTTAACAAAATTTGGACGGTACCTTCTGATGAATGATGAAGAGCAATTAGTGATAATGTAGCATCAAGTTCATCAAATAATGCAAGTACTTGTTCAAACATGCCCAAACTCTGGTAAAGACGAGATAAGCTCATCTGGAAAGTAATAAGTTTGCCAAAATATGCATTTTTTTTTTTCGTTAGTTACAAGTTTTTCATCAATTCATTAAGATTACGTTAAGATTATGGATACGAACTCATATATGATTATAAATATTTTTGTCACTTTTTTATTAGTAATGTAATGTTACATAAAATCAGTAATTTTCTAGCTGCAATGTAAAGAAGGTACTGATTTAATCGTAAAAACAGCAACTTACTTGATCTCGACAAAACGTAATGAAATCAAAATTAGAATCGGAATATTGATTATTTCGACTGGATAAACTGCTTTCTATATTCGTTACATAAAACTCCAAAGAATTTAACAGATGTAACTGCATGCTAGTTTGTAATGGAACTATATTCGACGGATCATAAATCTCAACAATTCTGAAATTTACAAAAAACTGAGGAGAAAAATACTGCTTTGAATCAAACATTCAATAAAATTTAGAGAAAATCCTTCAAATTGTGAGGCATATTGCAAAATATTTATATTTACGAATTATTTTAATGCCAGTTATTGATTACTGACTAATTTCTGAAAATTAATCTCTAAGAAGAGACTATTTTTACCAGATTTACAATCATAAGTTAAATTCTATTCTGTTAAACGTGTCGTTTCTTTAAATTATTAATGCAAATAATCATTTAATATGTAATATATGCAAAGGTTATTTTTCGAAGACTTAATTATCCAGTAAGTAATCTGGAGTTAATGAGAAATGAACTAATGATATTCATCTGACAATAAACAAGAAGGATACAAAGCAGACATCTCCATGAGAAAGCTTAAATAAAATTTTGTGGAAATAAGATAGAAATTTAAAATCGACTGGACCTGTTTGTGAATTTCGAAAAATCACTTTTAATTCGTTCCATAAGAGCTCCACGATTCTTTTGTTCACGAGCTTTCATACTGTCGAACACAATTAACCATTCTGCACCCTCCAACCTGTTTAATGTTGCAAACCATTCGCTTATTTCATTTCTGCATTCATTTCGATATTCCGCTACTGTCTGAAATATAAATGCACGATCACTGCTTATTTTCATACTTTTTTTTTTCATATTTTCAATTTTTAGCTTCAGTAATTTGAATGAAATTTTCGGAGCACATCTTTTCAGCAATAGTAATGTTTTTGAAACTTCAAGAAAAACTAATGATGGTTTAAACTTCATATTTATAAACAAATAAGTGTAAATTATATGTGCATATGTATCATTTATAAGCAAATAAGTGTAAATTATATGTACAAATCACGCTGAAGCAAAAGATAACTCTTTTTTGCCAACGTGATAAAAAACAAAAATTAGTTCTTAAAGCTGCAATGACTATGAGTTACTCGAACATCTTTACTTAGTCATTCCATTGTGTGACCACTGAGTTATAACATCTTTAAAAACTCAGTACTTACATAAAGGAATAACTGAGTTATAAAGATCACTCATCTAAATATATCAATAAATGATTAATGGAAATAAATAAGAGCTATTTCACCAGTTAATGACATCTGTACAACACTTTCTTTTTTTGCCATAATTTAAAAACTTACACATGGATTCAGGAAGAAAAAATGAAGCAATGATGCTTCTTCCCATGTTTTTAGCTTCACTGAATTATAATTAATCAATGTATCATTTGAAAATGGAACGAATTCGAAAAATAAATGTGCATGATACGAGAGAGAGTACTGCTGAGAATTCCTGAAACTTCTTAAATTTAGTTTTCTTCTCGCCTTGAACAGGATTAAAAAATCGTACTGATTCAACATTTTTTCTAAGAACAAAAAATTGCTTTTTTATTTAAATATGATCGAAAGCAATTTATTAAAACATCAATTTCTTGATCTGCATCATTAAACCTCAAAAGAACTTTACAACTCTATAAATTTTTCCTAGCTTCGCTAAGTAATCTTCAAATCAACCAATGGTTTTTTATCCATTGGGACATTGTGCTAACCTTTTCCATAAAACGACATTTTTTTCAAAGAAATCGGATAATTTTTTGTGGCATATTTTTTGCAATACTTCATTTCCACGATCTAAAAAGAAAACAGTTATCTGCATAAACTGCATATCGCAACAGATAACTCGGATACCTACTATTATTTTCCAACTGTTTATCATTCCCTTCGAAGCATTAAATTAGAAAACAACACACAGAGAGAGAGAGTCTGTGCGTGTACGTGTACGTAGTTTGCACTCCTATAATTTGTTAATCATCAAACAAGGTAATGTGGCTGAAAACAACCAAAACCGGATTACTTACATGAAAATTTGATAGGTAATCGTTTTTTGATGTTGAATACACTTGATAAATCCATAATTTTGTTACGATATTCTCTAAAAAGTAAAAATGTCGCAGTGCATAATAATGACACATTTCAAAATTCAATTTAACCATCATTTATATTTTTTTCAATCTCTAACATTTTGGAAATTACTCAACATATCATATATTATAATTATTCCCTCATACTTCAATGATTTCTCTCAATTAAATGATACTTCGTCACAAATCAAATGATTTATCAATTCTACCGCTATTATTAATAGTTAGTTTAGATGGTTTAATAGAAATTAAATTTATCCATCATTACCTTCTCAGACATGAACCTTGACCTCTGCAATGTGACCCCTCAAACAACTGCAACTGACACCCGACACTACCACAAAAATGCCTAGCAATAGCAGAAGGCTGTTCCACGAAGTACTACTTAATGACTCGGCCTTTTTTAAATTCAACTTTATTCAAATGCCTATGTCCCACTAGTCTCGAAGTTTTCGAATCTCGAACTTTAGAATTGATTAAATTAGAATTTATATATTATCGATTAGTATATAAACTTTAATATATACTTTAGAATTTTCAATTATTATCATTTTAAACTAATTCTGACAACGAATTTGATAAAAATACGACGAATTAGAATTGAATTTTGATTAAATTATAAAAATATTTCGAACCTATTCAGCACTTTTATTCAGCTTCAAAATTTGCTTTTGTTTAATTAAAACGAAACTGAATTAGTAATGTATTTTGTTTTGTGCTCCATTTTGTATTTCGAATCATTTATCACATTGTACTACATCATAATTAAAACAAAAAAAGAAAAAAAAAAAATGAAGAAAAAAAAAAGGAAGAAAAAATTGTTCAAAATACGAAATACAACATTAGTGACATAAAAAAAAATTATCATTCATTTCGTGAATTTGAGAAAAAAAAATATAAATCAAATAAAGAAAATGATATTAATTTAATATGAATGAATATATCAAAAGAGACCTGAAATAGGAATTATAGAGATGTGTATTGATTGTTAGTCAGCTCGCAATTTCTTCTTAAAATTCATCATAAAAACGATAGTTAGTTTGCATTTCCTAATTTTTACAACTTTTTTTTTTTGGTTATTCGAAAGAGGTTATAATTTTATGCTTAGTCTAAGTAAACTTCATTATTTAGGCCAAAAGTACTACAAAGATTATTATTATAAGAGTCAAGGAAATATTATCAAATTGTTTCAATATCAAGACATCTTGTTTGTACATCTGATAATACTGAATTATTAATTTCAGTAGTAGCATTCATTGCCGATTCAACCGATTCACAATGTTTTTCTTCCGTATTCACTCCTTGATTCTCTACCGGTTTTTCCAGTTGCATACCGGAATGTGATGGTTTTACATCACTGACATTTTGATTGATGCATGTATTCGGTTGCATTAGACGAGATGATGAACAACGTCGCAAGGATAAACTGGAATAAAGTGGTGTGCATTTTAACATATCTTTTAATTGGATCGATTCATAGTTTTCAATTGATTCTTGAAATTTTCCAATCCATAATTCCTGGAATGAATTTGAAAATTTTTTAAAAAATATATGTTTAAGATTTTTGAAATTTTATTTTTACTTTAAACGATTTAAAAATTTCTGGTCATTAATTATCATTACTTCACTTTTTGCTATTTCTGTTTTTTGAAGTTTAAAAACTAGTTTCTTTTAAATCTTGTAACACTTTTTTTAAATTTGATGATAATTGTTTTAAAAGTAAACATTGGTTAGCATAAAGCAATGTTATGATTTACTTTATCATGTTTGTTAGCAGCTTGTAAGGTAAAAATTGACACCACTTGATAGTATCGTGTAAGATGGATAATCACAAATGCAAATTTTAATGACACTGAAAAAAAGAAAAACAATTGGTTAGAGTTATTTTTTGCAAATTGTGAATGATTTTCAGATAACTATAAGTGATAGCTATAACTATAGTTTACAATGAATTTTACAAATATCGAAACGAAAAACAAACTGCTGGTAGAGGAATCATTCGAATCAGCATCACAGAAAACACAAGAATCAAGTGGTATTGGTTGCTTCTGGACAACATATTGTTCTGATTTTGTTAACTGCGTTGTGCCTTTCTTCAATTAATATTTGTGTAAGTAATATTAAAAAATAATAATGTACTAATGATGTTATTTATGTTGATAAGGCCAAAACAACTAATAATAACTAAATCTTCTTTTAAATTCTGTAATAAGGTTTTAAATTCAATTCTCTGTAACAATAAGGCTCCTAAAAATGATTTATTAGATGTTTCATATATGAGATCTTTCTAATTAAATTTTATTTAAATTAAATTCTGAATTCAAAAGAAATACTTTAATTCTTGTGCATTTCTTCATTTTTGTTAGTAAAAACATATCATTGAATAAGAATGCATAACAGTCACATGTTCTGCCATTTTCTGCAAAATTTTAAAAATAACAAAAAAAAAAAAAAAAAGTATTTCAGATTAGCTGTTTATATAAAAGAAATAAATTGCCACAAAATCAATGAAATTCATTAATAACCTAACCGACAAGATCAAGATGACCCTCATGGATTAATTTCCTTCTTGGATGTGCCAAAAGATTTTCACAAAATTGCTTGGATACTGCTACTCGTAAGAACTGTAAATAACTAAACATCAAGTTATACTGTTAAGAAAAGTCAGTAATAGCAAGGTAAAGCTTATGCTTATGCAACAAATATGTACATTATATGTATTATATGTAATAATAAAATTGCAACAACAATAAGTATTCAAATTGACTTTCAGACTGAAAATTATCTATTGGTATTTTAGATGTAACTTTTCACTTCAAATAGTATTTTAAAATTTGAAACCACAAAATAAAATATAATAAGGTAACAAATGCACACCTCTGGAATAAACGTTTTTGTTTCTAATTCAATGATTGATGGCCAAATGACTGAATTTTGCAATTGTTGTAATCTCTCAAAATTATGCAACCATTGAACAGAATCATCGATTGATCCTAAATAAAAAGAAAACATTTTTTTTTTTTAAATCATTTTTAAGACAGAATTCTGGAATATCAGATGACATATGAAATACTTATTTTTTACACATAATATTTCGTCATGATAATATCTAACAATAGCTTTAACATTTATTTTAATTATAATATAAATTGTGCTTACTTAATGATTCGTTCATATTTTCGATAACTTTTTCAATCCGTACTTTATCATCACTATTTTTCGTATATTTGTGAATTTCCTTCAACAGGATAGGTAACCTTGTAATGCGCTGCAATGGCGCTATTAGTAAATCTTCTAATTGTAACCGTTCACAGCGCGGATCTGTAAGACATACCTGAAAGTAATAAAATTAAATATTTGATGAGTAAATTAAAACTAAGTCAAATTAATATGTATGCTTTTGTAATTTCTTAAGATAATGCAAAAAATTAGTGCTAATTATCAAATAGAAAAAGGCACACAAATATTAATTAAGTGATTAAGTATTAATTAAGTACAAAAAGTTAATTAATATGTGAATATTGAAAATGGAAATTTATAAAATTTACCCCTTCAAATTCTGTAAAACGTTCCTCTTTCTCTCGTATTGAGCCCAAATATTCCATCGTGGCTTTATAATTAATGCAATATGCCTGGTAAGCTGATATTGTTGATGGTCCTTTGGAAAACTTTAATTCAGGATGATTTAATAGGTAATTATAGTATTTCAAAATTAACAGATTGAAAATTTAAACTTAACTATATATCAATATTAAGGATCATTTTTTTTTTTTAAATTTTCTTCTCTAATCTGTTTTTTTTTTTTTTTTTTTTTATTTTCAATTTTTATTAGAATTGAAGAAAACTTGCCCGTTCGAATAATTTAACAATAAGATTAGTTGTATTATATTCGTTATTTTTGCTAATCGTACCAACTTCATCCATTATTTTAAGAAATGATTTGCAAAATGACCAACTTATCTGCAAAAAAGAGAAAACTTTCACTTTTATTACTTATCAAATCTTTGATTTTTAAAATTTTTAAATCAAACATTTTCGTTTAATTTTAATGAAATTCGAAGTTCAGTTTTTATTTCATTATGAATCAATTATAGAAAAAATATATATTTAAAAACCCGGCATATTTGATCAAGATTTCCGAAAAGTAAATCCGGTTCCACCGTCAATAAACATCCCTCAACTTGACATTTTTTCAACGGCTCTTTGTAAACATTTCTAAAAAAAAAAATCAAATTTCAGATTTTTAATCTCAAATTTCCAAATGTGTTCTCCTCGATAGCATTATTTAAGTTTAATATTAATAATTATTCATTCCAATAATGTTTGATAAGTGTAAACCAATTAGCAGTTTGAGTTACGTGACCTGCGTTGCAGTTATACGTCAGAAATCAATTTCAAATTGCATTCATTTTTAATTTAATTTATAATCGATTAAATAAAATAAACCTCAAAACGAGAAGTTGTTTGTGAAGAAATATTAATTCACTATGAAATAACTCCCATACAGCTTGTAAACGTTTTTTATCAATTGAATCCAAATTTTCCGGATTAACAGCAAATATTTGATCCCAGTTAACTAACTATAAAATATCAAACAAAATTTCATTAAATCTAATTAAAATTTAAATTATTATAATTTTTGCATTTTTTTAATTCAAAAATTTTCTTCGCTATGTTGAAGAAAAATTTTTTTTTTTAATAAAATAACAAAGAAAATTTCAGTATCCATAAAAATAATGCATAAAACAATGAATTGAAATTTATAAATTCTTTTCGAATAGTACAAACAAAATTTGTTGATAATATATTAAGTATAAAATTTAAATGTTTTTAAAATTTTAGGTTTGAAAATTTCATTTGATTTTTGTAAATATTATGCAATTTTTATGAAGTATTTAACAAATTCAAAAAAAAAAAAAAAAATCTATATCTTGGACTTCTCACGATATCTTAATTGTATTGTTGTTTATTGAGATTTTAACAATTTGAATAATTTACAAGTAATTTTTCCAATTCCTCATCATCAAATTCAGGATCGCCAGACGTTTCTAACGCTGCTTGCACGTGTTTTGTTATTTCACGTCTTTTGGCTCGATGTGACCATTCGTACTGGAAACAATGATAAATTCTCTTATTGATTAAATTTTTGTTTGCTAGGATTAGGTATGATGATAGCTCATTAAATTTAAATATGAAGAGGCTCATTTTCAACTTATCTTTTTTCCTTTTGGCTTAATTTCTGGCCACATAATCCTTCTCTCTCTCTCTCTCTTTTTTTTTTTTTTCTTTAAATAGCTAATAACATCCATCGTTATCCATTGTTTTAAAATTCAAAAATATTTAAATCCATTTTTATCACAAAGAAAAATAACAAATTTAAATTTGAATTAATTTCCTTTCAAAAACTATACCAATCGTTTCAAAATCCACGGTGATCTAGTTTTTGATTGCTCTTTTGCATCAGCATAAAATGCTTGAGTTGCAATTGTCGCCCTTTGTAAATCTAAATTTTCAAGTTATCATTTATTTCTTTTTTTTTTCTTTTTATGAGAATTTGAAAATAATTTTATTTGTTAATACTTACATATACTATGTATACTGTATTTATTAATATCAAATTTTATTATCGTTAAAAAAAAAAAAAAAAAAAAAAAAAAAAACAAAGCAAAACCGAATAATTTCAAAAATATAACTCATAAATTTTAATTTTTGAAATATTTTTTAAACTCAAACAAATGATTACAATTACTCCTACAGATGAAATACATTTTAATAACTCAGATATGTTTACAAAAGATCATAAAAATGATCTAGAAAAGATCAGATCATCTCTCTTCATTATAATAAATTGAATAAATTTCAAAACTTTATTGAATGCAGATAATTTCAAATACCTACCAGCTAATAGTCCACCACCAGAACTGATTGCTCGATTAAAAAGTTGCGAATCATTGGGAGAGATTTTTAAATGTGGTACAATGATAACATTATCCGAACAACCTTCTACATTAGCACTGCAAAAAATTTACAATATAATTTTTCAAATTTTTAATTACTTATCTTCATTTCATTTTCGTGCAAACTATCAGAAGAAAATACAATGATGTAAATTAAATTAAAAATTAAAAAATTTTTATAATATGTAACAAACAGAGATAATGTTAGCATAATATTAATTACATCACCAATAATTTCAATTACAAATTAAATTTGCTTAGTTTAAAAAATTCAAATTAGCTTAAACATATTGAATATGCTGATTTCAGAAATAAAAAAAATAAAAAAAAAAAATGAAAAAATTAAGAACTAAAAAAGTTGAAATAAAAGAATGATGATAGTATATGAAATGGATTATTCTTCATCCATCTTTTTTGATCTTCTTGAAAAAAAAAGAAAAAAAAAAAAAAAGAAAGAAAAAAGCTAAAGGTATATTTTAATCAAATTAACTCAATTTGAAATGCATGCTTGGAAGACTTACTCATCCTGTTGAATCCTTGGCTAAATAAACATATCATAGCATTAAGTGATAATATAGTTAAAATTTTGCAAGAAAATAAAGAATTGATAAGTTCATTTAATTTTACTGATAGAAATGAGAAAATGTTAATCAATAAACTTTAGCTTAATTATATGATATTTCTAGAATTATCAAAAGATCAAAGATTTATGAATAATATTGCAAAAAATGAATCATTGAGAGAAGTATTTTTTGAAATATAATATAATTGTTGTAGTTTTGATACAAATTTCATTTTTTTTTTTTTTTTTTCAAAATGCACAATAATAATATGAAATTGGAATATTGCAATAAAAAAATTAATTAATTAATTCTTACCTGTTCAGGTACTAGCGCATATCGTCGAGTTAATTGTTCTCTGTTTGGATGAAGTGTTTGAACTTCAGTTTCTTCTTGCTGTAACATTATAATTTCAAATTATATTTTTTGTAATTAAATTAAAATTCGAATTATTGAAGATTTGTTTACATACCTTTATCTTGTATTCAATCATTTCGATTTTACTATTCCTGGAAGATTAATATTATTTTAAAAAAATAAATTTTAAATTTTTACGTTTAGATAACAAATATTTTTCATGTTTTTGTTTTTTTTTGTTTTTTGTTTTTAAAATAACAATGTTTCAAATAAGTTCTATGCATACACATACAAATTCATATTTGCATATCATATTTGTAAATTATTTTATCGTTTTTAAACTTAACAATTATGATTTGAAATGTTCAAATTAATTAATTTGGCATTAATTTTATAACAATATTTTAATATTTCGTTTTTTTACTTATTATTATTTATTTGTTCCTAATAATATTTTGCTACAATATATCAATGCAAGAAGTTATTTGATCAGAAAAGCGCATAAATTACTTTTCTTATCGATAATTAAATTTTTCCGGATGAAAAAAGATCATTTTGTTGAGTGCAAAAGATCAAAAATCTTTTATAGCTCTCATGAGAAATCATTTAGCCATTTATCTTATTGTAAACTATTATTTATAAGACATTGAATTATTTTAAACATTTTGAAACCAAAAAATTTTTTTGCATTGATCGAAAGAATGCAATAGGACATTACCGCTTTTGCATTGATCGAAAGAATGCAATAGGACATTACCGCTTTTGCATTGATCGAAAGAATGCAATAGGACATTACCGCTTTTGCATTGATCGAAAGAATGCAATAGGACATTACCGCTTTTGCATAAAATCACATAGCAATAATGTTTTAAATAAAGAAGCTAATAAAGCAATCAAGTTTTTCACATTTCAAATTGACAATTTATGGTGAAGTTTAAGAAGTGCAATGACATTTACGAAAAGGAATAAACTGATGAAATGACAATTTCTAATTTCACATAAAAATAAAAAGAAAAAAAATTGGATGGGCGCAAAAATTTAGAATGAAATCTGATATGATATGCATATTGGTAGAACAATGATGACTATATATTTTAATAAACTTTATTTATTATAAATTCAAACATAATTTCAAAAAAAAAAAAAAAATAGTAATAACTTTATTATAAAATTTTGATTTTAAATAAAATTTAAATAAAATTCCAATTTGCAAATTTTGCTTAATTCAATGCACAAACATCAAAATGAAAAAGAATGAAATTGTTTTACTATAATTTCATCTTCTCTTTCTTTCATCATTTATTATTCATAAATTATTTTTGCATAATGAATTAAGTGTAAAATGCTGAAATATCTTTGATAATAGTAAATAGAGTATAAAATAGTAAATGCATTTAAATGTTTAGATAAAAGAGTTAAATATTCAATGAGTTTTTGTTTACTAAAGTTTCAATTAAATCAGTTTCAGTTAAATTTTTCAATTTTCATTGTAAATGAAAGATATAGGAGAGAGAGAAAAAAGGAGCTATATTGAGGAAGTCGAGAAAAATAAACAAATTCAGGGAAGTCGAGAGGTAGTCAACTAATTCGAGAAGACTCGGGAATAACCGAATAATTCTTATAGAACTAATTTGCGTGACAGCAAGAAATTTGCTGCATTTTTTACATTCCAAAAATTTGTGCGTGTATTATAGTCATAAGCATTTTTCTTTTTTTTTTTTTTTTTAAATTTAAAAATTATGAAAAAAATTCATGTTTCATTGTACGTAGATTAATTTTCATTTCATTTCAATTTTTTTTTTTTTTTTTTCACAATCAATATTTCAACTTTTGTTTATTTCTGATAAGAATTTTGTTAATTTTTTTTTGTTAACACTTTAAAAATTTATACTGAATGAATGCATAAATTCCATTTTAAAAATAAATTAAACTTAATTTTTAATTCACATTAAATTTCAAATTTTTTTCAAATCAAATTTCACATCAAATTGTTAAAAAAAAAAAGCATTGTTTATTTCAAAAGCTTAAAACTGTAAAATTTATAAGAATAAACAATTATTTGGACAAAAAAGAAATGAGAAAGAGGGAGAGAGAGGGAGAGAGAGAGGGAGAGAGAAAAAAAAAATGATGTTAAAGCTGAGTGTTTATAAAGCGTGAAATATGATGATGCATCTAATCACAGATAGCTTTTTTTCCCCTTTTCTCTTTCTTTCTTTCTCTCCCTCTCTCTCTCTCTCTCTCTCTCTCCTTCTTCTCATTTATTATTGGAAAGTTTAAAGCTAATTATTTTCATTTAACTTAGCATTTCATAGAATTAATGAGTAGAAGATGGGAAATTAAACTGTAATTGCAACATTTAGTTTTCTCTTTTTTTCTATTTATTCATAATTAGCATTTTCATATCTTTTCTACTTACTAATTAGAAAATTAGCAAATAAAACTTTTATGCTAAATACTACAAATATTTCATAGAATTTGTTGAAAATATATTTTATATTTTTTTAATTCCCTCTTTCTCTTTTTTTTTTTTAATCATATTAATTGTTTTATATGAAATTAATTTTAATTTTATATCATAAATAAATGCTATTTTTGAAATAGCAATCAATAAAAGCTAATCATAGATTATTTTGTGTATTATTTGAAAATGAATTGAAAATGAAATTTGTTGAAGTTTAAATAAATTAGCAGTAAAAGAAAAAAAAAAAAAGAAAAGAAAATGTTCGTTCAGCAAAACAAGCAAACATTTCGATTTAACTAATTGTCTTTTCATTGAAATATTTGAACTATTGATAATCATTTGAAAAATTATAATTATTTTTCTTTTATTTCCGTTATTTGAGTAAAAATTTTAGATTAAAAATTGATGAATAAATGATAGCAATGTATAATCAAATTTTAATAATTTATATCAAATATGAATGAATGCAAAAAAAAAAAAAAAAAACATTTGAAAAAATACATTTAATATTGAAAGAGAAATTGTCATAATTATTTTTGCTAAAATTTATTTTTTTAAATTGAAACAAATACATAAATAATTTTTCAATTAAATAAAATTATCTTAATTTTATAATACTATTATAATTAGCTAAATTATTTTTATGCTTTAACTCTTTTTTTTTTTTTTTTGAAATTATCATCTTTTGTTATTAGAATATAGTTGACTGCTGCTTAACTTGATATTTAATTTTTAAACTTTAAAATTTTTATATATCAAAAAATTTTAGGAAAGTTAGAAACTGATTAAATCTGTCTCATAGATCAATAAAATTTGGATTTAAAAAGGAAAATCCAGTATCATTGCTTTTAAAAAAGATGAAAATGATGAATGATATCATTTTTTAGATGCAACTAACACTTTATTGCAGGAAGTTAAAAAAGAAAATTGAACAATTCGACAATTTTTAAAAATGAAATCTTTCTCGAAGGATTCTCGATAAAAAAAAAAAATCATTTCACTCTGGGATTTATTATTTGTAGATAAAAAATTATCAATCAATTCGTATAATTTTGAAATTTTTTTAAATTACAAAACCTTTAGTAAATTATGAAACTTAAATTTTATCGTATAAGCAAATTCAAATGAAATTTCTACAAATTATTATTGATAATCAAAAATTGATAACGTAAAAATGTTTTTTTTTTCTTAACTTATCAATTGATAAAATTTCTATCCAAAAATTCTGTCAAATAATTTTCCAAATTAATCAACAAATGAAGCAATTATAAATGATTGAACAGCTAAACTAATAAGGATGGCAAATATTGTAAACAAAAAGAAAAAAAAAATTGAAATAAGTAAAAAATGAATAAAATAATTTGTAAAAATTTTTTAAATTATTTAAAAAAAAAATTTGCATAAATTGATAATTAAGTTTGTTTTTTTGATTTATCACTTTTTTTTACTTAACTAAATTTATATTTTTTTTTGTGTTCTTATTACTCTTTTATACTTGTGAATTACTCCTTTTTATCATTTTGATATACTTATGAAGTTGATAATAATTATGAAAATGTCTTCTCAAATATCTAAAAGTTAAAGATAACTTTAAAAAAAAAAAAAATTGATTGCTAAAAAAAAAAGTTACTTTTGAAGCTTCAAAATATATCTTTGAATAATTTGAATTTTTTTTTTCTCTTTCAAAATTTCCATCTCTTTTATGCTTTTCATGCCCCCCCCTTTTTTTTTCTTTTTTTTTTTTGTTCTAAATTTAAAATCTAAATGCATTTCTTTAGGAAAATATATATCACGCAAAAATGAATGTAAATAAAAGAATAATTATAACCTAAAAGATTTTAATTCAAAATTGATAACAAGTTTTGAATTTTAAGTGAAAATTTATTGCAAAAAAAAAATGAAATTTCTCGAATTGATGCAAATGAAATAAATTGATGATAAAATGTTAATAAACGAATTAAAATAGCAGTAAGCTAATTTAATTAATGCTCAACAACTAAGGAAGTTTATTTGCATAATAAATTATTGATTATGAAAATAAGCAAACAAGGGGAGTGATTATTTCAATGTGAAATTTTTGAAGAAATATAAGAGAAAAATTTATTAGTTTTAAAGAATACTAATTTTATCAAATTAGATTATCACTCATTTAAGCAAACAAAAAATTTTTTATTAGCTATCAATTTAATATAAATATTATACTTTAATAATTCCTTTTTCTTTATTAAAAAAATTGAAATAAAATATTAAAAGTTGAAAACTTGCAAAAATTTCAAATAAACTATTAACAAATTTACAGTAAAAGCATACATTAACTTAATTTCAAAAATTAAATAACCAATTTTAAAAAGCTAAAAAATGAAATGAAAAATGTAAATTACCTGTTTTAATAATGAATTACCGCGTAAATGATGAAATAAAGCAAGCGATGATTCAGTCATGACAATTGCGCTCGTAGATTAAAATGATAAGTTAATTGTGACAATCATTTTTTTTTTTTCATTTAATTTCAAATTGTAATCGATGCTGAAAAAAAAAAAGGAACGATCAAACTAAAATGATAGCATGCTTCTTTAATAACTACCAA